CCATCACTAATTACGGTGAGCTTGGTCTCCCATGTTTTTCATTTTCTTCCTTTTTTATTACAGCTCTGATTCAGGGGGAGGTGGAGCGTACAGTCTGATTTGGTAGGCATAAACCCCGGCTCATGCTGGCTTTTTACTGTGGCTCTTCCTTTACAAACTCTAGTTAAAAGTGTTTTATCTCTCTTTTCATCTACTCTCCCCTATTACTTAAGTCAAGCAAGTCACTAATTCGCAAGAGTTGAAGACATCTCAACTTGAGCGAATAAATGCGTCACGATAACCAATCAGCACATAGATTCCCTTGTGTCGTATGAAAATAGAAACAGAAATCCTTTTACTCACAGTCGACAGATGGACAGGCGCTCTGCAGCTGGGATACAGCGCCTGTAATCGGTATCCTGGAGGGATGTCCTGGCACCAACCCTCACTGACAGGTCATCAAATTGGGTTTGGGTAACCCAATAATACCACTGGAAATGGCTGTCATCTGGGCGCAGCTATCTGGAGGAGACCCAGACACGGCGATCGCCACATCTCCGATGGTTGTGGGCCTTCATCAACAAAAACAAATCAGCAATCCGCTGAACGTGGTTCACTCCCACCATGCTTGAGGTGATGATTTTACTCGTGCTTGGTGTGAATGAACGCCCTATTATGAAAATGGGAGAGCAGAGGGAGGGAGGTCATACAGCTTAATCTGGTGGGGATAGTTTAAACTCAAATAACCTTTTTAACCCACAGACACGAGAATCTCAGGTTTTGATTGAGTGTTGAAAAAGTCCCGGTGCAGTCTGCGATAACAAGTTAGGCTACAGAGGCTAACCATATAAGCAGTAGATTGTGTCCTTCCAGAGGAGGAAATCTACTTCTAGACTTCTAGAATCCGCATCTCCTCATCCATGGTGTCATCGGGGTGAAACGACGTCTAAAAACCTTTCACTTGTTTGTCTCCGCCCGTTTGAGCACTTGTGATCAGCTGAGGAGTCCGGCGATCTGCAGCAGAACGGAAAGAAGTCGGTGGAAATTGACACGTTAACTTGAATGGTTACGATCAGCTATGATCAGCGGATACGACCTTTTTGTCACCGTTCAGGATGCGGTGGAAATTGGGGGTTACCCTGTCCCACTAACCATGGCGGAGTCTCTTCACCACAGCAGTCAGGTTTCATATTTGTTGTCAGTCCCCTCTCTGTGGACATAAACTTGAGCATGTCAGCGTGTGATGGAGCTGCAGTGATCTCAGGTTTTAAAATGACTGTTGATCAAATACACGTGTGCAGAAAGATGCTGTAACCTCAGGTTCTACTATCATGAAGCATTTATCCGGCCTCTCATTGGAAACTGCATGTGGATATACAGCAGGTTCAGGTAGTAGACTGCAGACATGATGGTTGAGAATAAAAGACTGAAAATTCATCCACCCACACAGGGTGAAACATTTAACTTTGCCACCTGGCAAAAAAATCTCACATTGACCTTTTTTAAAAAATTTGGGTAGAAAACGAGTGAATCAGAGAGAACAAACATCGTTAAACAGTGGAGTCTTTTTTCTCTTGGAGGTTTTTGTGCCCAAAGTTATTTCGTTGCCTGTGACTCAGATGCATCTGGCAGCTTTTGTTGTTTTCTGAATTTGGTGTTTCAGTTTTTTAAAACCTTTGGTGATGACATTTGTTTTCCTCGACTCAGACCCGGTGATGAACTCAAAGGACAGGGAAACAAAAGTTTTTTTGCCATTACTGGAGACATCATCACCAAAATTATAGTGCAACTCAAATCAACTCTTGAAAGGACAAGATTGTGATATTGTTCTGTGAAGGCTGAACAATATGGAGGCTCTGCATTCTTCCTATAACAAAGACTGAGATTTTAAAAGCTTCTTAATCGGCTTATTTTTAATAACAAGCTGTTAAAACTTTACGATTTGATGTTTTTGTAGTTTAAATTGCAGATAAATATGTGTGTGTTTTTTTATGGTAGGGTGAAAAGCTCAAAGCGAGCGTTAAAGCCGTCAGAGAGTGGGTGTATGAACAACGTTTACAGCATCTCTGCTGTGGATGGAGCAGCAGCCTTTCTAAGGGTTGTCCGCCTTTTGCACTTTTCCTGTTTCTTATTCTGGTTTCATGTCATACATTTTCTTTGTGTTGATTATTTTTGTTAACCTCGTGGGTGTTTGTGTTTTGCATTTATCAGGGAAACTGACCTTTAAAAGGAAAAGTCAAAAAGTTCAAAAGACTCGATTCTCCTCTGAGTACAGAGGAGAGCGCGGTGAAGTCAACAGCAGTCAGCTGGTTTGTTAAAAGAAACATTTGTGACCCTGAACAGAAGAAAAATAGATATTTAATATTCCTCATGATAAGAACATGAACCCAGGCAGCTCCAGATGTTCATTAGAAATCTGGGCCTCTGCAGGATCTCTGCCCCGCTTTGGGCCTCTGACTGAACTAACCAAAGGAAAATCACATTATCATTATTTTAAAACCAAGTTTTTCCATTTTCCATGTTCTCCTCCAGACTCAGTCCATGTTCTTTCAAATAGTGAACTTATTCAGGTTATAGATTAGGGGAGAAAAGGGTCCTGTTTGCAGAAATGTATAATTTATTTCTAAGGTATTTCATTTCTTAGGACGATCCAGATATTCTCATTCAAAAGTTCTCATACCTACAAACTTCATGCACTAAAAGTCCTATGTAGACCACATGGTACTGAGTCAGTTTTACCCGTCCACAGAGTTATGATAATATGAGGTTATGAGGTTAAGAATACGACCTCATCCATCAAGAATTGACCCTTGTCCAGACAGACTCCTCATTGCCTTCTTTATCATTTCTCATCTGTTCTTCATTAATGGAAATGGGAGAGTTAGGGTGGGGGAGGCAGAGCGTACAGCCCAAACCATCTCCATTGGCTCTCAGATGACCGTTACTCTCTTTTGTCTCTTTTCCTCTGCTCTTCTTTCATGAATATGGGAAAGTATGAGAAAGGGAAGGTAGAGCGTACAGCCTGACTTACCCAGGATGAGTGTCCACCCAAAGAGGCTTCTCATCTCCTCTGTGGAAATGTCGGGAGTAAGGGGAGGTAGAGAGGAGTAGAGGGGAGGTAGAGCGTACTGCTATCAGGGCTAAACTCTAACCAGAGCAGGCTTGGCTTCCTTGTCCTCTTTTCAGTTCCTCTCTACAGACTCCTAACCTAACGTCTGTCAGGGTGTTGGGGTACAAAGGAGCTCATGTTGGTTTCAGGTTGTAAGTGGTTCAGGTTTCTTTTCTCAAACCTCATCTTTGTCTTTACAGCACAAGGACCTTGTTTTTATCTCATATTTATTTCATTATGGATAATCAAATGTCTTTTTTTTTTTTACAGAATCTGCTGTTGATCACGTTAAACCTTTATTCAATAACCCTCATTTTTCAGGTCTGTAATAATAACTCGTGAAATGAGGTTTGAAATACACCATATCATCTCATAACTTCTCATACATGATTGGTTAAACTGAAAAGTGAGAAGACATATATACATTTTTTTTTATCATATAGCTAATACGATGCTTTAAAATAATAATAATTTGAATACTCATTTTGACCTGAATTTTACTGAATAAAGACACCGGAGAAGTTCTTTTAATTTGTGGGATTGCTGAGGTCAATGATGGAGAAAGAGGATGAAGAATGTGGGACATGTACTCGGCTCTTTGCTAAATAAAGTTCCATCTACTGTGACACACCAAATGGAAATCATCCATCATAAACACTCGGCTGATTACATTAAGAAGAGAAAAAACCTCCTTTTACTTAATAACTCCATGTATTCACTTCAACAATCAGTGGGATTGAACTTTTCTGAGCTCTAAACCGGCAGAGACGTGGTCTTTCCTGAACTTCACATTATCAGAAACTGTTAGAGACGCACTGGAGGCTTTCAAGTCTCAAATATTATTGTTATTTTTTTTTAATTTTTGTCTTGTAGTTTATGAGCCGCTGCTGGAAGCCCTGATACCGGACATGTGGACTAAAAATCCAACAAAAATCAGTGTTCAGTCTGAACCATCAATGTGCAGCAGGTATGTTTACATTCAAGTCAGTCAGTCTGTTTACATGACACTCAAGAAAACCGAATTATCGCCTTATTCCGATTAAGACCGGACAACTGAAGTGCATGTAAACACCCAGATAATGCGATTGGAATTCAATTTTCTCTACCTGTGTAGTCGGAGTAAGATCGGTCAATGCATGTTCGCCACGCCCCCGTAACCCCGTAACAAAACCCCCAGAGTAGAGGAGTAGCGTTCGTCTCATCTTCAGAAAAAGTAGCGCGTCCATCATGTCGGACAAAACCAACGCTGTACGATGCTCCATCTTCTTGTTTCTCCAAAATGCCCAGCTGCAGTTGTAGACACTTCTGACGTCTAAAAAGACCCATATCGCCCCCTAGTTTTGGGGAGGAGCACACGTTCAACGACAAGGAGAGAAGACTGATCCAGCCAAAAAACGAATAATGAGCTTTGTCCGATAAAAGTGTCCATGTAAACGCACTGACAGATTGTGGACTGTAGGATCTTTGACAGAACCTGTCAGGCAACCACAGATGGAGAGAGAAAGAGGAAGGTGTGCATGTCTGAAAAGCCAAGGGACGAGCACAATGAGAGAGAGACCGGGTGTACACACGTACTTCTGTGGTCCTCCCTCAAAAAGGTTGAACTATTTCTCTTCCTCTGTTGTGGTTCTTTCCGATGATTTCAGGAATCAAATCGTCAGTAATCATGTTAAATAATCTTGAGTTTGAGTTTGAGTAATCTTCAGTTTTCATTTTCAGCCACAATCCTGCAGCCCCGGATCCACTCTTGTTTTAAAGTCCATGCCGTACTCCAGATCGATGTCCTGAGGTTCTGGGTTTGACTGCAGTCAAACTTTTGTTTGTTCTCCAGAGTAAAACTTTCAAATCTGTACTTATAGAAGCAGATTTGCGCTGGTTCACCCAATCCTCCACCTATCTCTTTTCCCATCAGTGGAGCAGCCATACTTCGTCCATCCACACAGGTAAACATCCACCTCCCTCTTTACCCACCTACCCATTCATTCATCGGTGTAATCTCTGTCCACCCGACCACACATCCGTCCATCACTCACTCCTCTTATCTCTGCGAGCTCGCGCCGAAGCCTGCCTGAGGAGAGCGTTTTCTCACTCTGACAGCCCAAAAGTCAGCGTGCTCTTGAGGCTGACAGGAAGCCGGTCAGATAGGAGCAGGTAAGTGGCACCTTGTGTTCATCACTGACAGCAGGGAGTGGACCGGCTCACGCTGCGCCTCTCATCCTCTGCCTGCATCGCTCCATGTTAGCAATTAGACGCAGAGTGATTTCAGCCTGAAGACCCTCAGCTGATCCGCCTCAGACCTCCACTCCTCCTTTCAGCTCAGTCTCATTAAACTGTATTTAAACTCTCACAGGCTCTCACATGTGGATTCCTCTCTCTCAGCAACCTTCACATTTTATACCTTTATAGGTAAAATAAAGCTTTTATTATTGATGCAAAAGAGTCACAGTTTGGACAAAGACTTGAGTTGATTAGTATGAGATTTAGATCTAAAGGTGGTGATGAAGGTTCAGGACCATGAGATGTAGGTAATAGGGATGTGGAGATGAATCGATGTGGATCGTGGTCGCGACACAGACGTGCGCGATGCGAGTGCATCATTTCATTCAGTGTGTATCGGTACAATGACGGCTGAAATTCGTGATGCTTCGTTCGCTGCGTGTCTGTATCGGTCATCTTCACAGCTGCATCGGTTTTTCCATGTTGTTCTGCAGTCTATCGTGTGTTTCCGAGGCATCTTGAATGCACCATCACCATTTCACGGTTTGTTTTGAAGACAGACGGAAAACGGACAGAAGCCGTGCGCGCGCACACTCTTCAATAATCATGGCGGAGGGAAGAAGAAGAGATTTTTAATGCTCCGAAAAAGTTTAAACCCGTTTGGATGTACTTTGGATTTTACAAAAGAGATTGTAAACTTGACAAGACGCGCGTTATTTGTAAATAACACCGTGCTTCTAAACCTCACGACAGCAGCACAACAAATATGGCCGCTAACTTGAAAAACATGGTATCGATGTCACGAAAATCACTGCTACCGGAGTGCAGGAGGAGGCGAACAGCAACACGGGTGAGAACGAGAAAATCACAAAACACTCGGATTTGAAAAAATTAATTAATTTCTTTACTTTTCAAAAGTCAAACATGCTCAATGTAAAAATCAGAATGCAGAAAATGTAAACACAGGTTGTAAATATGTACATACAAAAGTATAAGTGAGATAAAATTAACGTACTGGGATGGACGGTGAATCATCGTATCGTATCGAGAACAGAGGTGAATCGTATCAGCAGGGATTCAATGTTTCGCAAATTATATCGTATCGTTGGCAGAGCATGGAGATCTAATCGCCACAGTAATGGAGATGCACGTCCCTAGTAGGTAACATTAAAACCGCCCAGCAAACATGCTGATATATTTTTGTTTACGCCGCTGCTACACTCCAAATATGGATCCTGTGGGCATTAGACGGCGCTGCTCCACGGAGCAGAGACGCCACGCTGATGAAACACGCTCAACATGGACCCTGTATGTTCTCAGCTTCACTTCATGACAAGTTCTCTGGTACGAGAGCGACATTTCCAGGTTAACCAGCCGCACAGAGGACCAAGAATATCCTCTTCACTACGTTTTTTTTTTTCATTCATCATCAGTGATTACTGAAATAAATAAGATCGCTCATCTACATCATATTAATAAATGATGAGAGAAGATGTAAGCTGGAATAAATATTCATTAAAAAGATTATTTACTGATGTAACGTGCACATGGAGGCAAAATGCAGCTGTTGACTTAATATGTTAGAATAGTGTTCCTGCACAAACATGCAGCAGATACAGTCAACTCTTAACACTACAGATGGATTCAGTGTCTGATAGAACAACTTTTAATTATCCTCCAATCATGTCATTAAGGTTCCTTCATCAGCTGCCCTGTTACATTTTTAATCCAGAAAAACAACAAGATTACATCAGCGTGGCTCTGTACGAGGAGAGTCCTGCAATGTCAATTTATTTTAATAATACAACAAATACACATTTTAAGTCTTTACTTACGTTTTATATTAGATATTTAACAAAAGATTCATGTTATGAACTGATTTTCACCAAAAAAGACCAAGACTGACGGGGTGATGAAGCGTTTCATCTCCCAGCCTCCTTAAAGCGAGGGTCTGCAGGAGCTGTTCAGCCTGTCTGGAGGCTGATGGAGGTATTAGGGCGGCACTGAGAGGAAATAAGTCAGAAAATGAGAGAGAGAGACAGAGAGAGAGAGAGAGAGAGAGAGAGAGAGAGAGAGAGAGAGAGAGAGAGAGAGAGAGAGAGAGAGAGAGAGAGAGAGAGAGAGAGAGAGGCTGGATGTGTGAAAAGGTGTGACTGAAGGAGTTTGGGAGGAAAATGAGTCTCATTGGTGAGAAATCGAGGAGAGGAAAGAAACGCTGAATAATGGTGTAAAACTCTGACTGACTTCTCTGTTGGAGATCCGCTGAACTCTGAACCCCGAACACCTCATCTGGTTTTATGTCTGTTGGCCTCGTGTATGTTGGCCTTTTACCCCGGTGCATTCTGGGTCAGCATCTCCTAAACTGCCCTTAACTGGTTTTGTTCCTACACCTCAAACAGACGATCCACCGTCTCCAATGGAAACTCATCTTCCAAACCAGTTAATATCACACGTGGAGTTCCCCTGGGTTCAGTCTTTGTCTCACTAACCCTAACCCTTCAGTCTGTACATGACCGCATTAGGAGTCACCAGCTGGACTCATATCTTTGCAGATGACTCTCAGATTTACTCTTACAGCCCCTCTTCAAAAGTACAAAACTCTCTCTATAATGTAATAAACCAAGAATTAAAGATAAATGTTTTCAGTGGAACGAAATGAAACTTCATTTTTGCAGAGAGCGAGGTTCATTACTTCTACATTTTCAGCAGCCGTCACTTACTCTGACACCTCACACAGAAGACATTATAGATGGATTTAGCAAAGTGAAAGGAGCGCGGCACTGATTTGCAGATTTTTCTCCTAAACTCTTAAAGTTGTTTTTGTTGTTTTTCTGCTTTCAAATGGACAAAATAACACAAATGAAGATGATTTAACTTTACACTTACTAAGGCTGAAAGTGCGTCTCTAAATACGCCTCAAAGACCTTCACAAAGAAAAGACTGTCGATAGCTGTGTCTTTGTAACTGCAGCTGTTTTCATACTGTCTTGAGCTTAAAGGAGATCTGTGATACTGGGACAACTGAAGAGTAGTTTTGCATGATTTGCATTTCAAAAATATCTCTATTTATCATAACCAGGCCTCTCTAAAAACTTTATTTTAGATAATATTCAGTCTTTGGCTTCAGTGTTTTGTTTGAGCTGCTTCACTGATATTAAATGAAATGGGTGTTACTTTTTACACAGCTTTGTATGCAGGAACTGACCCAAAAGTTACGCCTTTTCCAGCCAGTCTTAAACTCTCATTTTAGTCTGTTTGTTCTGCAAAACAGAAGAATATAATAAATATAAACAACTTTTAGCTGTCCGGCTGTTAGCGGGCGACACCACACTTCAGCGAGAAAAATATAACAGCGCCATAGAGCCACAACAAAGCAAAAGCATTAAAAAGTTGTCTGATGTTTTTGTAGAGCCCATTACAAGTCCACCTACCAGATGAAGGGGATGCAGCATAAAATCTGCAGAGGGCGCCATACTGCCGTTAGCGCTGGAATCCCAAAACCAAATACTTACCGGGGATTTCCACTGTATCCCAGACAGTCTGATCCAGGACGGTGGCAATTTTCACTATACGCCAACCCACGGATTCATGTGCAATTGTGCGATAACAAGTTGTCTTTAGCTACATAAGCTAACCATATAAGCAGTAGATTGTGTCCTTCCAGAGGAGGAAATCTACTTCTAGACTTCTAGAATCAGCATCTCCTCATCCATGGTGTCATTGGGGTGAAATGACGTCAAAAACCTTTCACTTGTTCGTCTCCGCCCGTTTGAAGCCGGATGTTTTATTTTGTGTCTGTGCTCGACCTCCTTTCCCCGGACTCTTGCGATCTGCCGCGGAGTCCGGCGATCCGCAGCGGAATGGAAAGAAGCTTGAACGGACAGAAGCTACGATCGGTGGATACGGCCTTTTCGTAGACATTCCAGATGTGGTGGAAATTGGTGGTTAAGCTCAGACCTCCCTTGTTTCCTTCGCTTTAGTCCACCTTAAATGAGCTCTGGTCTGGAGAAGTTGGTCTTTTTGGCGTGTTACTGCATCATATTTACATAAAACTCTCAGAATCAGATTTACAGGTTGTTCAAAATAAAAATCCAGACACAGCTGCAACAATCTGTCAATCTAACTTATTTTCCCCCTTCGGTCCGGCACCTTTGATTCTAAGCTCTATTGAACGCCGCAGCCTGGAGGAGCCCCTCACAGATGCTGTTTTCTTCTCTGATCCGCTCACACGATGCAGCCGTCTTGAGCAGCATTTGTGTTTATTTCTCACTCTGATTGTGGGATGCCTGATTCCCTCCACCTGTTGGGCGATGTCAAATTTTTTGCTGCTTTAAAAGCGGATAAAAGGTTTTGAAAATGAACTCCCTCTTGCCGCTCAGAGTTATTGCTCGTGCTGTTTCCTGTTTGTGCTGAGGTAGAGGTTTGCAGATATCCCTCTGAGACTTTTCCTCAGGCTATCAGACTGTGTAAACATCAGTCTGAGGTGATTAATTATGCCAGGCAGAGAGCGATAGAGGAAGAGGGCGGGAGGAAATGAAAGGAGAAAAGAGATCATATAGATTAGACTCTGGAGTCTCCTTGACCCGGCTCCCCGGTGGTACCTGCTTGTCTTTACAATAGGAAAGGTATAAATATTTCAAGTCAAATAGAAAGTGGAATAAACTGAGCTTTCATCTTTTATTCATCAAAGCCGAAGGATGTCAATGCATATCCACCAGTCTGGATGCCTGCAGGGCCAGATGCTCCGACAGAATGTATGTCTGAGTGTTTGTGTGGGTGAGGACACAGTCGGGGCTTTGGATGAGGAAAGACTGGAACCAAACAGGACTGAATGTTTTAACGCACTACAAAAGAAACCAGACCGCCGAGTAAAGAACTGCAGGAGGTGATGTGCTGAACTGAAATGTAAGGGATAAGAAAAAAGGTTAACTAACAGTGACTAACAATAGGAAAAATGGTTGTGATTTGTTTCTGTTTTGGCGCCAAAAAAGAGCAACAGAAAAATTCATTATAACCAAAAGTATTTGAACATTAACATAATAAATGAAAAGAGATTACTTATGTTACCATTTACGACTTTGACAGTAAATCTACTCAGGTATAGGAGAAGAGGCCAAGCAGCAACCGTCACTTTTGAGAAATGAAGCAGTTCCTTCAGCGTCCACTAGAGGCTGGCTGCAGAAGAAGCAGAAACCACATACACACTCATTCAAAAAGGCCAATTTTAGAGTAATAATCAAAAAGTTTACAGCTAAAACATTCAGTTTTGGGGTTAGAGTTAGGGGGTTAGGGGTTAGGATAGGGGTTGGAGGATATTATTTTTTGTTAGCGGTTAGGGTTAGGGGGTTAAGGTTAGGGTAAGGATTTAGGGTGAGGAGTTAGGGGTTCAGGGTTAGGAGTAGGGGTTAGGGTTAAGATAAGGTTAGGGTTAGGAGAGGGTTACGGTTAGGCTAAGGGGTTAGGGGTTGGATAGCTATTAGAAAATATAAAGGTTTTTTGTTAGTGGTTAGGGTTAGGAGTTAGGGTAAGGGGTTAGGGTAAGGGGTTGGGGTTAGGGTTAGGATAGCTATTGGAAGATATTGAAGTTTTTTGTTTTGTTTTGCAGAATGAAAGAGAATGCTTAGGATGACACAGGGTTAAGGGTTCTGGAGAGGGTTAGGAGGTTAGGGTTGGGGGTTAGGGTGAGAGGTTAGGGGTTAGGGTTAGGATAGCTATTAGAAAATATAAAGGTTTTGTGTTAGTGGTTAGGGTTAGGAGTTAGGGTAGGGGGTTAGGGTAAGAGGTTAGGATAGCTATTGGAAGATATTAAAGTTTTTTGTTTTGTTTTGCAGAATGAAAGAGAATGCTTAGGATGACATAGGGTTAAGAGTTAGGGTGAGGATAAGGGGTTATGGTTAAGGGTTAGGGTGAGGGTTCGGGGGTTAGGGGGTTAGGGTGAGGGTTTGGATGCCTATTAGAAGATAGAGACAACTTGTTATCCGGCAATTGCATGTGAATCTGCGGGTTCTTGTGAGTTCTCGCAATTCCTGCTTCCGTTATCTGCCACGAAATTCGGCTCACAAACAGATCTGGTAGGAATTGGCTACAGTGAAATTTGCCAACGTACTGGATTGGAGTCGTTCTGGTGACTCAGCTTCAGTCCGCTCTTTGTGAGTTTGGAGGGTTTACTCATGAGGTTGTATCTGAAGCTGCTAATTCTGGGTTTCTTCTTGGCTAACTTTCTTCATGAAGGTTCAATAAAGTTGAGTTGATATTTTTCTTTATTTCTTATGACCAACCTGAGATGGTGGTGGAAAACACAACCCTCTCAAAGGAGACAAAAACAGTCCAGATTTCAGAGTTTCCAGCATAAAAAAGTTTGGCAAACTTCTGAGTAAAACCCGCTCTGTTTATTTTCTCTCTGACTTCTTTACCTCGCAGGGTGTGCAGAGAGCTGCAGTCATGGAAACGTACCCCAGGAGTCCTGTCTGCACTTTTCTTCCACAATAAAAAAGGCCAGTGGACAACTAACGATATTACTAAACACCCGGCTTCCTCTACATCTGCCGCGCTTTACTGCTTTCATGGTATGTAAACCTCCAGAGGAAAGGAGAGAATGCACAGAGACAAACATGAATAAGTCATAAATTCAGGATTTGGCAGGAGAGGAGAGAACCTGGATTTGTCTGAGAGTCCTGTTAGAAACCTTGGTGATGTTTAGTCCTCAGTGGCTGACATGGATGTGGGTTTGACCTTGAGGTAAAGATTTTGTGTTGCAGTTTTTCACCCATTTTAGACTCCTTCAGAAACCCGGAGAAGGACCTCTGCTGACTCAGATATCCAACATTTATCAGGATTTCATGGAGCGTCAAGCAGAAACCAACATATCAAGTCTCAGGTATGAAAACAGCAGGTAAAGGAATATTTCTTCAGATGGAAAAAAAAAAGCTGAATTAGATATCGATCCTTTGAGAGGTTACAGACAGAGATAAAAATGAATTACAAAACTTAATCCTCTCTTTAGAGAAGTCGAACAAGAGTCGACAAGTCTGTAGGAAAGATCTTAGAGTTTAAAACCTCAGGAAACGTTGAAACCAGTCATCAAAATAACTCCGTTAGAGGACTGAATAGACGGTGGAAACTTGACGTTCTTAACGCCGGATGTACTGGATGTGTTTTATTCCGCTTTTGTTGTGGGTTAACAACATATCGACGACTGCTGTTGTGCGCTTTAACCACAAATGCATCTGTTCTCCAACGATGAATGCCTAAAGAGATATGAGGGAGCAGTTATGGAATAAATACAGCTGCGACTACACCCTGTGTGTTTGTTTGCAATCAGTCAGTCAGTCAGTCAGTCAGTCAGTCAGTCAGTCAGGAAGACTTCAGGGAGGTGAGGCAGCGCACGTCTCCAGGGTTTAGCGGTGTCAAAATATCAGCCATCTCTTTATTATTTTCTGTCTGCTGCCCTGAAAGCTTCTCCATCGTTGGTTCAGAGGGCGTTCAAGAGCTCGAAACAACAACAAACAACTTTTCTCCTCACACAGCAGAGGACCTGGACCGAACCTGACCACCGAAGAGAGTGGTCTGCTTCAGACTTTCACCGCTAACACTTTAAAATCAAAGTCACATCACAGGACGTACGAGTCACGAGGATGTAAGTATGGACAGGACAATAAGAAGTCACTGTGCTCACACAGACCCCCTGGGCAAATTCCAGCGTTGGTCACAGTATTTCTATTTATTCAATACATCCGTCTTACAAAGTGCAGTGTTTCAAAGCAGAACATTTATGACCTTAAATGTGCAAATTAGCACGTTAAAAACTAGTAAACTAGCACGCCTGATATGGCGGCCTTTCCTTGTGTGCTAACGTCCACATGTATGTGAGCTCTTTTGACCATTCGGCAGTGAATGAGGTCCTGGGCACCATTGTGAAGTTTGAACCCTGCTGATGCCTAACCTGGGATTTCCACCGCATTGGAACAGCTGCAATTTTCCCCGTACGCCAGTTCCTACCGGATCCATTTGTGAGGCAAATTTCATGTTGGTTTACGGACAGCGGGAATCATCAGAACTCACAAGAACCCGCAGATTCATGTGAAATCGCACGATAACAAGTTTTCTTTAGCCACAGAGGCTAACCATATAAGCAGTAGATTGTGTCCTTCCAGAGGAGGAAATCTACTTCTAGACTTCTAGAATCAGCATCTCCTCATCCATGGTGTCATCGGGGTGAAATGACGTCTAAAAACCTTTCACTTGTTCGTCTCTGCCCGTTTCAAGCCGGATGTTTTATTTTGTGTCTGTGCCCGACTTCCTTTCCAGCACGGGTTAATCTGTGATGAATTTATCCGTCATGCTTGTCCAGAAAAAATAGAACTCATGCGATCAGCTGAGGAACGGAAAGAAGTCGGTGGAAATTGATTCTTTAACTTGAATGGTTACGATCAGCTACGATCGGCAGATACGGCTTCTGTGTAGCTGTTCTGGATTCGGCTGAAATTGGGGACTAGACTGAAACACCATAAAAAAAGCTAAACCAGGCTGACCATCCCTGGTTTAACATGTCATGTAGCTGCAAGAAAGTTCATCAAACTTTCCTGTCTTTTAAAAAACTTCTTTACGCTCTTCGGGCTCATGAACGGTAGAATCCGTTTCCCCTCCTTGGCCTCCTCCTCCTGAATCCAGCATCGAGCCGCTCCCTCGCCTCCGTTTCATGGAGCAGCTGCTCTGCCTGTGCTCTCCCACTCTGTGTACCTGTAGGCAGCAGTTGTGAAATACAAACAAACCCGAGTTTTAACCTTTGCTACAAGCTCAGAACGTGTTTCTGTCAGAGTTGTCGGATGAAGGGTGAAGGCGGAGTTAATGCTCCACAGATGAAGAGGAGAAGCTGTTGAATATGTATGTGTGTAGGTCGGCATGTGAACAATGCGGTGCAGCAGCAGCAGCAGCAGCAGCAGCAGGGCCTGTCAGCCTGTCTGCCTCATTAGCACTAACTGAAACAGACATGCTAGCACTGCGCAGCGTAGCATTCAGCCTCAACCTGTCTGTGGTCAGCACTACAGGAAGCAGCATAATATTTCCATTGTTAGGGCGTCTCTTTGCTCCCCGAACTTCCCGCTGGTGAGTTTTGTGGTGTGGAACTTTTCTTTTTTCTGAGGGAAAGTTTGTGCAGAAGCAAACAGCGTCGTCTGAATTCAAGACTCGAACAGAGACAGAGGAAAACTTTGCAGTTTGGGCTGATGTGGGAGGAAAACGCGGAGAGCTTTTAGTCGTCCTCTGTCAGCAGTTTCTGCTTGACACCGAGCTGCGCGCGTGGGTTCAATGAGCTATCTGCACAATGAAAAACTGAGATCTCCGTGACACAAATATCAGAGCTTTGACTGAAGGGAGCTCGCTGTGCAGAGGGCGGAATGTTTTACAGCATCTTTGTACAGTGTTCCCGCAATGTTACACAACACCGCGCCGCGAGTTCACAAAGTGTTTGACGTGAATGAAGAAGTAAAGAGAGCTGGAAACTAAAAGTGAACGGAGGGCCAACCTCACCGTGAAAATACTCTTGGTCTCATTCTTTCAGTCACTCGATTATAAAAAAAGCCTTGAGGCAAATTATCTGCTTCCATGTTTTACTTTAAAATTCAGACAATCCAGCCCGCGGTGCTCAGAATAACGACCGTGAAACAGCCGCTCTGAATATTATAATGTTCAACTTTAATTTAAATTTCTCATAAAGGGGTATTCTGCATTTTTTCAGACTCTAATCGTCCTCCTGATTCTCACTCTGGTGTATTAAAATATCACTTTTTCAGCCTCCTTCATTTTGGCGGCTAATTTTGGCATGAAAGCTAATCCGGCGAAAACCGTCCAGACCAACCACAATCTTCCACGTCATCCCAACCAACTTCCAGCCAATCATATAGCATGACGTCATCAACAGGCACCGGCCTCGAGCCGATCTGGCAGCCTGAACACATCTGGTACCAACACCGGATAGAAAATACAGTCCATTTGAACATTTAATCAAATCAAAACTGTGACTTTATATATTAAAAACAAAACTGTGTGCAACAATGAGCCATCAACTGTGTTTTCAGGGGCATTTTATCTTGTCCTGACTTTGTGGCTCTCTTAACGCCGCCACATCACATTTCCCAAATTGACACCATTACTTCCAGCCAACCTGCAGACCTGCTGTTTTCTAACCGGAGAGACTAAGAGCAGCTCCAACAGCTCCAGCAGCAGCAGCAGCAGCAGCTCTGCGGTATTTTTCAGAGGTATGTGACTGAAAAGTTTGGTGCACACATATTAAAACCATATTTCATTTGAAGCACACACCTGTCTGGCTGCAGAGGCATTTGTCAGCGGCTCATGGTACAGAGGTCTTTTAATCTGGTGCTCCATCTTATGATGGTGCAGGGGCGGCCAACATGCCTCTCCATGCATATGTGCAGCATTAGTAATAAAGACAAATCCTCGTGCAGAGCCAGAGTTGACAAATTTCTCTCTAACCTGCAGAATTTTTCTTTAGCATGAAGCAGAAACGGTGATTTTTAAAACCATCTGTATCTGCGGTTCTCTCTGCAGACGTCAGAGTCAGCCGCTGCAGCTTCAAGCATTTTCACAGTTAGCATATGTGTTTGCTTAATTGTGTTTAGCTCGTTTTGCATAATTATCCTGTTAATTCTATGTGAATGACGGTTTTTGTTCACTTTACATCTTCATTTAGTCTTCATTATTCGTCATATCTGTCTAATGAAGCTGCTCGTTATTTCCTTTTATGCAGCGTCCTTTCAGCAGCTCTCGGGGAGAGGAGGCTCGTCATCGTACTTGACCTGAATCTGATCTGTTTTTTCTGCCGGAGCTTCTTTTTCTGTTAGTCTGCAGGTATGTCTGTCTGTCTGCTTCTTAACAGGTCTTAATGTCAGGAAACAGGGCCTGAAACTTTGACGATATTTGGGAGCATCTGTACGAGTAAAACTGATCGTGGTTTGTGAATACAGGGACCGATGGTTAATATGTGATTTTCCACTGACACCAAAAAGAAAAGTTGCTTTCCCTGACGCTCTGATGGGACAGACGTCTTCTGTCTTGTTTGTTCTCTCCTGTCTTAGGCCCCGTTTATACGTACCAGGTTATTTTTAAAAACGGAGACATTAACCATCGTTTGCACCCTTCGTTTAGACGCAAATAGAGAATTTGCCTCTGAAAACGATGTTTTTAAAAAGTGAAGATTTGGGAAAACTTCATTTGCATATTAGAATGTGAACAGAGGTAAACAGAGATTTGGGTAGCCAACGGCAGATTGTTCACCAGAAAGAAGGAAGTGACGTTGTTGTTGTTGCTGCTATGCGGGATTCTGATTGGCTACTGTGGGCTTGAGCTTCTCACTACACTGCCACCTACAGGTTTGGCATGCTCTTGACGGCATATATACATGGGTTAGTGTAAATAAAAACTAAAATGTAGTGGTGTGCACAGCTTTTTTTGTAAACAGAGAGGGTGAAATGTCCATTTATGAAAATAGCCGGGCACGTGTAAACGCAGTCTTGATTTCCTCACATCTCTTCATGCAGAAGGAGGCAAGGATCGATAAGTCCCTGATGTCGCTGTTTCATTCTGCTTTTATTGAATCGGTCATATCTTTTTGTATTATCTGTTGGTACGGCAACCAGAGAGAAAAAAGCCCCGGACAGGATCGTCAAGGTGACGAGTAAAATTGCAGGCGTGCAGTTCACTAGTTTGAATCATATTTTTAACAAGCAGGTTCTTAAAAAATCTGTGTCCGTTCAGTCTCATAGTGACCGTCCTCTCTGCTCAGAATACGATCTGTTACCTCCATGGTCTGTTACCTTCTGGACATCAGCTGCGAGTTTCTACAACCACAAAAAAAAGGTATAAAAATTCCTTCATCCCAGGATCTATCAGAGCCCTGAATGATCCTGCAGGAGGAGATAACTGTTTCTGATATTAGAGGGTGTATATTATTATTATTATTATTCTGTATGGTATTGAATTACTGTGATCTTGCTGTACGGGGTCGGGGTATCGGCTCTGGGTCTGATGGGCCTGATCTCGCTGATCTTGGAAGGATCGAGCTTCATCTCGGGGTCTTTTATTGGTACACAAATCGCACATTACACTTTGTTTCTGCATTTTATCTCATGCACTCTGCTCATGCAAAAATACTGGTATGACTGACATGTTTTTTTTACCTTCTAAATCATCTTAAATGCTTTTTACCTCCTGAATTGTTTTTTTATGTAAATGTATTTAACTTTGTTTTTTTCTTAGATAATGTACGGCAGTGTTTTAAATGCCTGTGCCTGCTGCTACCTGATTTAACCTGATTAAAAACTTTAAAGTATGCAAAAGCAATATTTGAAAGAGTTCAGATTCTGCTCCAGATTCACTGCTTCATATTACTCTCATGAATCCTCCTCCTTTAGCGAGTACAGAGTCGCCTCTTTATCCTCTCATGTTTTGAAAATAGACGAAGACACGTTGTCTTGGCCGAGCAAACTGAACGTCCTTAAAGGTTCATGTGCGTGTGAGACCATCCAGAAGTCACGCTCTCTCCCATCACTCTCTCTGTAGCTCACTTACGCTACAAAGTCTGTTTTAATTTGGAAAATTAAACACAAATTTTCTAGAGCGAGTGGGGTTTCCTCGACTTTTGGATTCATCGCTGTAGGTCCCCCCTTCTAATAAACACAAAATAAACATATCTGTAAAGTTTTTGGAGGATATTTGACCCTCAAAGACACACAACAGCTGAGCTTCATCAGCGCCGGTACGAGCCGAGGTGACGCTCCGCCTGCAGCTCTCTGGTTTGAGTTAATTTTATCCACAGACATCTATTTTGGAGATGTCAGGCAGCGTGCACAGCGGCAAACTAATGTATCATCCCAGAGGTGGGGTCTTCAGACGGGCTGATTCAGAGAGCTCACAGATGAGACCCTATCATAGCTAAAGGTCATCCCTGCAGGTTGTGACCCTGCAGCGTCTTTACCTGTTGAACCGTGATTAAAGCAGACTGGAGAGGGATTCACACCTGCAGCCGAGCCGTGACTCAAACACCAAAGACGAGCGCTAATGTGCGGGAAATATGCTCCGGCTTTCAAGTGGGAAATACATTTTGAATTAAAAATAACTTAATGAAACGTGTTATCTCAAGTATGCAGCTTTTCCCTTCAGACTAACAAACAAGTTGCTCTGACAGATTAGTGCGGAGTCTTTAAGAGAGCCAGAATCTAATTAGTGACATTTTCCAAGTGTTTAATTGAGTGAAATGACAACCTGCAAACTCTCGACCCACTCTCAAAGTTGTGCACGCAGCCATTAAACAAGACAGATGTGACACGTCTCAGGAAATAATCCTGTTTTTTAATTCAGGTACTTTTTTAGACTTTATTAGGCGCAACCGAAACAGAGACGCTGGAGGTGAACGAGGAGGCAGCAGGAATCAGTCCCACCTGTAGCTCCCAGCTGGTCCTCATCACCCAGCAGGTATATCAGCAGAACCAGTTCACTCACTCATTGCCAGATTGTCGTCGCTCTCATGCCCGACTCCCCAGCACTTATTCCCGGACGGTTTACCTGGTATTGACTCAACTTTCCTCCGACTGTTGCTTCACGTCTCAGCCCCGAAAGATCCACCAGCCTTCTGTCCCCGACTACGAGTACTGCCTGCCTGTCTTCTGCTCCTCGTCTGCCTGTGGTTGGTCGGCTCTCAGCCTGTTCCTGCTCCGTCAGAGACCCCCCTCGTCGGCTTCACCTCCTCTGGAGCCGTCAGCCCTGTCCACTCCGTCTCCAGGTCCGGATCCACACCCTGTCCTCATCTAAACCACTGTCCAGCAATGAGTTCTTTGCGCCTTTTCCCTTCCACACTCGCTGAGCCCGTAGTGAACCTTTGGACAATTATCTGCTCATGAGTCCCCTACACTCCCTGCCTTCGTGGTCTAACCCGTGGTCTCCTGCCACTCAAGAGACCCGGGTTCGAATCCAGCCTCGTCTGCTGCATTATTGACTGTGTTTCTACCTTACCCGCAAAATAAAGACTGTTTGAAACGAGAGAAAACCTAGTTCATTTGTGCTGCAATTGGGTTCACTCTATACCTGTTACAGGTAGAGCATGCAGCCCAATCCTCCACACCTGTGCTGCACTAACACTATTCCTCTACAAGGATAACACGACATAAAATATATGCTACATCGAAGCCTCGTTCAACCTTTACAAACAAAACTAAACCCAGCCAAAAACAAGAAAATTGCAGCCGTCCAATTTTGATTTTCTTTATCAGATCTCAGAATCCATCAAACGGCTCTTTTTCAGAAATCTGAACTAGAAACACAACTTTTTTTTGGTGACAAATGTTGAATCTTTGCTCAATACGAGATTATTTATGACTTTGATTATTTCTTCTCATCAGGTCTGCATACTCGTTTTTTAATGCTGTCATCTTTAGGTATTTCTTTCATTTGCATCAGCTCGGATATCTCTCTCTAATCGGATGTGGCAGCTGTTTTGTGCGTCCTCTTCTCTCATTGGCTGAGCGCTGAAATGAGGAGTTAAGGAACATGTGCTTCCAACCTCGGGGTAAAGAGAGAGAATCAGTAATATTGCAAAAAGCAGATGTGCTTTTTCTTGACTGAGTGGAGATGACAGAATTAAATAGCTAAGTCACTTCCACTGATGGTAATTTCACAGTCGGGGGATTTTCGGAGAGCTTGTTCTATTAGCTCGGGGCGCGTTGGACATGTGCAAGACCTATTGGGCACAGCTGCCGGCAGTACAGTTCTTTTAACCTTTATCTACACAGGAGCAGGATTAAAAGGGGATAATGTATGCACGTTTGCAGCAGCAGCAGCAGCAGCCTGTTCGACATGCTGACATGCACACCTGAGATCTGCTTGGTTGAGCCTGAAGGGTTCGTCCCTGTCTTACCGTCTTAAATTAGTCGTGTCAGTCTGGGTGATAATGTTAGGAAAACGCTGGAGATTACGAATGCAAAATCCAGATTATGAAACGCACAGGTGTATGAAACACAGGGAGGTTCCCAAAAAGAGGTTTGAAGATTTCTTCTGCAATCAGTGAAACTGTCTGGTGCACTCTCTTTTTGTCAGTTTAGTGTGCGGGTGTTACTTTTTACACAGTCAC